AGTCTGGGCGGCTGCTGCGACAAGCAGCGCTGCCGGCCGGCCGGAAGAGAGGCCTCGGCGCGCGGCTGGGTACCCGTCTAGCCGCCGCGGCCGCCTGTCCGCACAACCGCTGCCCACGGCAGAGTCCCATCCCTCTTGACTGCATTGCGCTCGCCCGAAACTCGGCGCCTCGCTGCCGGCCGGGCAGCGCCAGACCTTCCACCCCATCCTGGATCCCTGTCTACACACAGCTGGGATGCTACGACGACCACTCCCATTATCCTGTATGGCTCAGGGCAGGCAACTTAGGGTTTCTGTACCAATCCTGATCCTGATGCCAATCCGAATCCTCAACCCTCAATCCCACAACCCTGAACCACCTTCGAACATCTTGTCGAGCGCCGTCTCCATCTGGGATGCACTCAGGATCTTCGAGGTCACGTTGGGCACGCCCGCCCCGCTGCCGCGCCGCCCGCCGCGGCCCAGCGCGCCGGAGCTGTCCGCGCCGTCAAAGGAGTCGCCGCTGAGCTGGCAGTTGGCCTGCGGTTGCAGGGTGGTCGGCGGGGCGGTTGTCGGCGGTGTGGATGATCGAGTAGCTGGGCTTTCTGATTAAGGGTGGGTGTTCCAGAAGCGCCGTCCTGAGGGCTGCTGCTCCAGTCACCACCCTGCAGGGCTAGGTGGTGACATAGCTGAGTTATAAAAATTGATTGCACAGATGTGAAGGGGGTGGTGGTCATCGGAGGGATGAAATAAGAGAAAATGAAAACAAATGAGGAAGGGGGTCGACTGGCTGCACGCGCGCACCCTGGACAGCCGGCGCGCCAGCTGGGGCACCACGCTGGGCTCCGGGCCGAAGCAGAAGATCTGCGGGCGCGGTTGGCGTCGCATTAGCAGCGGCGCCCCGCGTGACAGGGGCAAAAGAGGGGGCGCGAGGGGGTGCGCCGGGCCGGTACCAGGCATGCCGTGTCGGCGTCAGCGCTTTGCGGCAGGTCGCCACGGCAGGTGGGGGGCCTCTCATCGCTGCAGAGCGCGGGAGTCCGGAGAAATGTAGCTGCACTGCTGGCTTCGCGATTTGCAAGTACCCCCCACCGTGATGGGCATGGTGTAGACGCCCTTGCCGGTCCCAGTCATCATGCCTGGGGGGGAGGAGGGGGTAAGATCCTGTGATGCACCCCAGCCTCAGACCAGTGGGGAGGGGTGGGTGCCGCCCGCGCTGCCCGCGCCGCCTGCGCCGCTTGCGCTGCCAGCGGGGAAGCTGCCACCTCGCCGCACGCCCATCCCAGGGCCTCGTACTCCTGTCCACAGGACACAATCCCCACTTGCAGCTTGAGAACCTCCCGCCAAAGGCGTCCAAGATACACATGCAGCCTTCCTTGCCCGCTCACGCCCCAATTCCCTCGAAAACCAAACAGCGCCAGCCGAGCGCGCGTGAGTCGTCCGCAACCCCACCCCCTTGCACTCACCACCCCCTCAGGCGGCCCTCACCCTCAATCACCAGCCGCCCGCCGTCCATGAGCGCCGCAATCTCCGCCACCAGCTCCCGCCGCAGGTGGCCCACCTTCTCGCTGCGGATGTTCTCCACACGCACCGCGTTGGCGTCGTACGGGTTTGATGGCTCGCGCACAAACTTGACCATCTCGTTGCGGCCCACCGTGCCCTGGCGTGGGGAGATGGGACGTGGGGGTGTTGGGGGTCGGGGTGGTGCTGGGGCTGGCTAGGAGGTGGTGGTCCAACCACAGGGATGGGGCTGGCGCAGCCGCCGTGGCTGTCATGGCCAAGCCCGGTCGCTCCGTCCGATGGGCAAAGCCTTCGCTCCCTTCCGGCGCATGCAGCGTGGCCTTCCAAGGCGCGCTTTTGGCTGCCGGCGCCGCAAAGGCCCCTGCCAGGGTGCAGCTGCGGAGGGCAGCACGGGGCTCGCGCCCCGCAAACCTCGTAGTATCTGATGCCGACGATCTGGCTTTTGAACTGCCCGAGGTACTCAAGCTCGGCCTCGTGCTCCCTTTCGCCACCGCCCTCCTCGTCCTCATCGCTGCCGTCGATAACTAGGGGCACACCCGCTGGCGCTGGGGCCTGCGTTGATGTGGAAGCATGTCTGAGCACAGGAGAACTTGGCGGGAGAGGCGCCTCGGCCGAGGGGCAGAGCTCATGGGTGCTTGCCGCGCTCTGTCAAAAGCTGCAGCGACAGCAAGCACCACTGCCATATGGTAAGGGACGCATGTCAACAGGCCGGTGCCGAAGTGAGCACGTGTGTCGCGGCGCCGCCACACCTGCAGCGAGGCCCGCGCCACTGCTGCCATGATGGCAGATCAGTAAAGCTGTACGTGACTCCTGATGACGGGCTCGTTGGTCGTTTATCCGGACAACAGCTACGACTGCGAGATCAACGCCGAAAGCAGGTGGCAGCAAAGCAATCAAGATTACTCGTAATTCGAAGCAAAACGCGACAAGTTTCGTAGCAGGTAGATTCCGAATTTTCTAGTGACACCGTTGCAGCTGCGAGATCACTGTTTGCGGCTCTGAGCTCCTTGTTGAATACATATAAGTTCACACGCTTTGACTAGAACTTTTGTGGCTTGTGCCTGTACGTGGTAATACTGCTCCACGCGTGAGCGGCAAACCTCCACTCGAGCTCACACCTCTTGGCGCTGGCAAGGGACAATAGAAAAAGATGCGCCAGGCCGCACTCCTGGGCCTGGTGCTCGCCGTAGTGTTTGGCCGCGACGCGCTCAACGCGCTCCAGGCATATGGCGGCGCCGGCAGTGCATCGTCCGCACCCCTCAACGTCGACCGCGGGCTGAGCGCAGGTTTCAAGGTGATGTGATTCCAGGGCTGGGCAAACCCGGCGATCCTGGCGCGTGCGGTGCCACAGACGCTGGATGACCCACAGAGTGCCGCAGCAAAGCCGGCCTACATGCCCAGCGTCGGCCACGCCCACTCGCGCCTCCACCCTCCCAACAGGTGCACGTCGCCTACTGCACCTCTTGATCTTACAAGTGAGATTTTGATTGTTCACATCCTCACCAAAAGCTGCTTGTTCGCACATCTCGACAACCCATTCTACCCACTCACCCCTCCTCATCACACACGACCTATCTACTCACCGCACCCCCCCCCCCAAAACAGGGGCACCTTTGTACAGGTGAAGCAGCTGCTGCAGCAGCAGTTTCCCGGCATAGAGGTGCTCGGCTCGACCTACCCGCTCTCGGCGGGCAGGCAGGCGCTCAGCCAGGCGATCGGCGGCGCCCAGATGGCTGGCTTCGGCGGCGTCTTCTTCGGCGACAAGCTGTTTGAGGCGATCGGCGTTGCGCCGCCGCCGGACTGGTACGCGCGCGTGCAGCAGTCCAAGCCGCTGTGGGCGCTGGGCGTGTGGATGGTGGGCAACATGGCGCAGAGCTCGGCTAGCTCGACGGGCGCGTTTGAGATCTACTTCGATGGAAAGCTGGTGCGCAACCGCGCGGCCACGCGGGTTGCGCGCAGGCGGCGTCGCGGGCCGGCCGCCTGCGCCGCGTTCAGGGGCGGAGCTTTTGCCAGCAGGCCGGAGCCGCATCCAGCATGCTGATCCGTGCACCAGCAAGTTTCACGCCTCGCCGCGCCCCTCGCCGCCATCACTTCCGCTCACCCCCGGCACACACGCAAACACCCCGACGCCGCCAGGTGTTCTCCAAGCTGGCGGCCGGCCGCTTGCCCACCCAGGCGGAGTGGGGCGCGCTCGCCCAGAACATGAGCGCGGCCCTGGCGGCCTCGCCGCGCGCAGCGGAGCTGCAGGACCAAGCTGAGCTGGACCGCGCGGCGGCGCAGGCCAGGGCGGCGCTGGCGGCGTAGCGCCCGCGCCGCCGCCGCGGGCCGCTGCTCTGGGAGCCGTCGGATAGGGGCCGCGGGTCGGCCTGCAACCAGGCCCGAGGCTTGAGGCGAGGCGACTTGGGGTTCAGTGAGAGGATCGGGGCTTGCTGCCGCGCGGGCGCCGCCGCCCGCACTGTGACGGGCCGCCCACAAAGCCGCCGGCCCGCGGCCGGGGCGGCCCTGAAGGCTGGCGCGCGCGCCGAGAGAGCGCGCGCCGGCGTGGCGGCGGGGCCGTGCCGCCGCAGCAAGATGTACGACTCTCCGGCAGCGTTGTTAGTGAGCTTTTTTTGGATCTTGTCAGATGTTCTTCACGTCCCCCCCTGCATGACTTGTTGCAAGAGTCAGGTCAGGTTATTATTTTTCAAGCTCATATGGAGGGCTGTGCAACAGGCCAATGGTGCCGCTGAGACCCTCGCCCCTGCACTACAAGTCACTTCACTGGGGAGTCACTAAGTCTGGTTACAGCAGCAGTCGTGGGTTGAAGAGGCGGGCGTTGCGCCCGCAACTGCGCCTAGCTCAACTGTGTGGCGCTGCCACGCCCTTCTGGGGTGCTCGAGGGCGCGGGTGCGCGCACCCATGTTGCCAAGCTTGAAAAAGACTAATTGGGGAGCGCCGGGGCCAGCAAAATGGGGGCAACGTGCGCCAAAACGGCCCGCTCTCCGACCCCCACGACCACACGAGAGTGAGGGGTCTCAACGCGGGGTGGCACAGGCGCGGGGGCCGGGCGCCAGTGGTGAAACGTACACGGCACAGCAGGAAAATGTGGGCCAAGTCCGCGGTGAGGCGGCACATGGCTGAGACAGCAGGCGCTGCATTTTCATCGCAGGACAAAAGCAGGCGATTCGACCGCCTGAGCGGGGGCCCGGCGGAAGGCGCGCTGGAGCGCGCAAACCCCGCCGCCACCCTGCTGCTGCCGAGGGGGCGACAGGAGCGGCGCGCGCTCAGCGTCGCCGGGCGCCGGCCTTGCCCCCGCCACCGCCGCCGCGCCTGCCGCGGCCGCCCGAAACCTTGGGGTCGTCAAAGAGCAGCTCTGCCTCCCGTACCTTCACCACGCCACCATCAAAGTCGCCCCTGCCGCCACTGCCGCTGCGTCCGCCCCTGCCGCGCGGCCCGCCTGCCGCCGCCGCCGCTGCGCCCGCCGCCGCGGCCCCGCCCTCCGCCTGCTGCTCCGCCAGCCGCAGCGCCGCGGCGTCGACGCCCACGCCCAGCGCGCGCAGCAGCTCCGCGACATACAGCGGCCGCCTGTGGCGCGGCACCGCGCCCAGGTCGTGCGCCGACAGCCACCGCACCTCGTAGCCGTTGCGCTCGAGCACGGCCTGCTGCAGCGACGCGGCGCCGAGCTTCGTGCCGCCGTTGGATGTAAACTCGTGCTCGCCCGCCACCTGCAGCGCGACCCACCGCCCGCCGCCCGCGCGCAGCTGCAGGTCCACAACCAACAGCCCGTCCCTCGTCGCCACGTCAGCGTCGTGCCGCACGCCCAGCTGCTGCAGCAGCGCGCGCACCTCCGCGCCGAGCGCGCTGCGCCGGCCGCCGCTGCCGCCGCCGCAGCTCGGCCGCGCGGCGAGGCCGTCGCGCCACGCCGCGGCGAGGCCAGTTGCGGCCTCCGGCGGCATCTGGGCCGCCACCCCCTGCAGCCGGCCGGCGAGGAAGCCCTGGAACGCCATGCGCTTGGTGCTGGGCGCCAGCTGGCCGGCGGCGTGCGCACGCGGGACCCCCGATGATGTCAGCTCGTCGTACAGGTCGTTGTTGACTAATCCCGAAAGCCCAAGGCCGCGGTACAGGCTGCACGCCTCGAGCGGCGCCATCCGCGGCAGCAGCTCCCGTGCGCGCGGCAGCAGCGCCGCCGCCGCGTCGGCGTCCGGCGCGTGCCCGAACGTGCCCAGCGCGTGGAAGAGGCTGGCGGCGTCGGCGGGCGCGAGGGAAGACGCATGCCTTGCGCAGTAGCGCAGCAGCGGCGCCCAGTGCGGGCCGGGGTCGTGCCGGCAGCGCGCGCACGCCCACAGCGTGTTGAGGACCTCCTGCGGCTTGCACTCGTCCCCGAGCGCCGCGATGGCGCCCAGTGCGCCCTCCAGCAGCGCCGCGTCCACGGCGCCACCGTTGGCCTTGGCGAGCCCCCACACGCAGTTGGCCACACCCTGGCTCGTCATGCCGCGCAGCAGCGCGCCGCCGTCGGCGAGCAGCGCGCGCGTCGCCGCGGACGACAGCCCGCTGTGACGCAGCCCGAGGCTGCCGGCCGCCCACAGGACCGTGCTGACGCCGCGCGCGTCAAGGGCCCCGGTGTCGAGCAGCGACTGCGCGCGCGACAGCAGCAGCTGCGCGACGCCGTGCGCGGGGCGCGCGTGCTTGAGCAGCGCGAGCGCGTACAGCGCGCTGCAGACGTCGCGCGCGTTCAGCTCCGACGAGAGGCGCGCGAGCGCCGCGTCGGCGGCGGCCATGAGCGCCGGCGCCTTTGCCAGCGGCGCGCCCATCACCGCCGCCGAGTAGAGCGCGTTGACCACCTGGAACGCGTTCATGTCCGCAAACTGCCGCGCGAGCAGCTGCAGCGCCGCGACGAACGGCGGGCTGGCGAGGACCTGCGCGCGCTCGGCGGCCGGCAGGCGCTTGCTGAGCGCCGCGAGGCGGCCGAGGGCGGTGACCGTGTTGTGGGGGGTCATGCGGCCGATCTCATCTTCCAGTACGTCAAGCACGTCCTGGCAGCAGCGGCACTCCTTGAACTCGCTCGAGATCATCCTGCTCTCGTCCTCGGACTCGGAGCCGGCGGCGGCGGCGGAAGCGGCGCCCAGCTCGAGGGCGGGCGGCGCGTCCGAGGCGGCGAGCGCGGCGGCCGCCGCGGCGGCAGCAGCGCGGCCCGATGGGGACGGGGGGCCGTCCAGCTGTGTTGAGGGATGTGATTAGGGTGGCAAGGGCATGAGATGAGGGTGCCGGGCTGCCGGCAATGGGCCAATGCCTGGGAGTGTCGCACGCCACCCTGCCGCCGCTGAAGACGGCGGCCGCCCCGCGCCCCGTCCTCGCACCTGCAGTGACTGCGAAAGGGCTCTCAACCTCATTCTCGATTCGGAAGGGCTGCCCACGTCGAATGTAATGCACTCCGCGGCCCTCGCCCTGGCAGAAGGCGGCCTGTGGTGAGTGTGGTGTCCGCAGAGCGACGCAGGGCCGGGCGGCGACATATGCAGCGACTTATCCTCACCTGATACGTCTCCTGGGTGCGCATGCATTGGGTGCAAGCGGCGCTGGCAGGGCCGCTGCCTTTGCCAAGGAGAGGGCCTTTAGGCCCAGCGAAGATGGCAGCATGGCACTAGGTTCAATCAAAAAGGACTTGTATGATCAATGGGAGCGCACGCACGGACTCTTCTGCACTGCTGATGTGTGCTGTGGCAGGTGATGCCCGTGGGTCGTTGGTCAATACGCTTTTTAATGATACACACGTGCGCATGCAACTTCGGATATCTTGTAGGACGAGAAGAGGGAAGCCTTGTGTGGGCGCCTCGAATTCAATGCCCCACTCCGTAACCACACACCCGTGCGTTTTGGCAGAGGAAGGAGGCGCTTGCGACCTTGTTCGCCATCACACCACAAGTGCTATCACATCCTGCTTTTAGTGCCGCACGTCTGTGCCATCGAACGCACGGCCGCCCGCCACCTGCACCAACAGCAGAGCACACAGCACCCTGGGCCGCCACTAGGATGTCCGCAGCGGGCCGGTGCACGTCTCATCAGTGCCGTGCACATCTTGTTCCAATCATCCGAACACCTGCGCGACATCAACAGGTGCCGACAGGCACCCAGGCCGCCCACATTGCCCGCAGCTGCTGGGATCGCCCACCCCATTCAGTGGCGATGCACCAGCGGCAAAATCAGCGCGCACGCTCTGCGACGGCCGTGGCCGCTTCGTCGCAGCAGCAGCAATCCGGCGCGGGCCGCGGGCTCCTGCCGCCGGCCTGGCCGCGCGTGGCGCTGCGGCTGGCCCTCTGCGGCGCCACAGTGGGCACGCTGCTCGATGGCATTCACTCCGCTGTGGCGCTCCAGGTGCGTCCGAGCAGGTGCTCTCTACTTGACCCCTTGGCACTGTCATATCAAGTTTCGGGTCTAGGATTTCGTCTCCCTACATAGATGATACACAGGAGCCACTCTGTGTGATCACTGCGTCCCACGAAACACGCTCAACCTCGACACTCAGGTTTACGACCTGGGCCCCTTGCGCTTGGAGACGCCGCTCGGCGCACTCGATACGTCCCTGCTGGTGCCCCCGCTGCTGGCCACCTGGTGCGAGCGGGTCGCGTGCTTTCTGCAGGCACCAAGGGCCAGCGGGCTCGTCCCAAACTCGGCATGCAGCAGGCTCTGGACGTGGCGGGGGAGGGATGTTGGAGCACCTTGGTTGCTGACACACAAGTCGCTTGTCCCGCGGCGCCTCCTATTGATCCATGCTATGTTTCGAACCCATCTTGAGGTTTGCCAAACCACACCCTGCCTGCCACAGGTACGCCGTGATGGGCCTGCTCTTTATGGCCGCCGACAGCTGGGCCGCCAACAGCGGCGACGCCGCCACCGCTGCCGCCGCACGCGCCGCGGCCTCGGGCGGCGCAGCACGTGTCGCCGCCGGCTACGCCCTGCTGGCCGCCAACCTCGAGCTCTCGGCTGTTCTATATTCGCGCGGCGCCGGTTACGGCCAGATCCTGGTTGCCCTCGCGGTCACATGGGCGGCGAGCTGGTGGCTGCTCGACCGTACGAAGCAAGGCGCCGCGCTGGCCGTGCTGTGCGCGATGGGCGCGCCGGCGGCGGAGCTGCTGCTCATGTCGGCGTTCGGCACGTGGCACTACTCGCGGCCAGACGTGCTGGGGAGCTTCGTGTCTTTTGTGCCTTGCTGCTACGGCGGCTATGTGCCGCTGCTCGCGGCCTTCACTCGGTATCTCGCACAGGAGCCAGAGGGCGGCGGCGCACCGCAAGCCGGCGGTTAGCTTGGGCGGCTCGCTCGCCCTCCAGGCGTCCTGGTATGAACAGCAACGAGTATTTGGACGCGCACTTGTGATTGGTTTTGCCGCTTGATTGACAAATTTTGAACAGTGACGCAGTCATGTGGCAGTCACCCACCCCCCACTCAGCCATATGCAGCGCGTGGTGCGGCGCCTGCTTTCCAGCCCATCACTGCCCAGCTGATTGTTACATCGAGTGCAGTTTCTGAAGCTTTGCAACCGTGGCCTCACATCAAGGCGCCTCGCTTGCTGCAAAGGCCTGATATGGCAGCCCCAGGAGGGCCGCTCGCTGCCGGCGGGGCCCATGCAGGCGACCGGCTGCCTGTGCAATGCGTGTACCGAACCGGCGCTAAGATATGCAGCGGCATGTATGCGCCTCGCGCTCTGGCGCGGCGGCGCGCGCAGTAATCGATGGTGCTGCTTCTTCAACGTATGCGCGGGGTCCAACGGCTTGTTAGAGCCCCATTCGCGCCGAGATCTCAAAGGCAACAAGCAAATCGTGCAGATGCAAACTGAGCGGATACACCGCGCAGCCACAGTGGCCAGGTGGGGGCGCCCTGTCAGGTACGCCAATCCCCGTACTCTTGCCGGGCCCAACGATGACGCATACAAAAGCATCCATGAACACTTGGGGTGCCGGTAACCGCAGCTGCATCCATGCATGGCCCATGGCGCCGCGTGGGCGCGTATCGCCCATGACGAGCGAGGCCGGTCAGCATGCAGGGTCTCGTTTGACCCGTTAACATGCATTCGCGGGGGGCCATGCAAAATATGGCAAGGAGCAGCGCGGACGTGACCCCACGCGCAAGCCAGAAGGGGCCTGGCAGGCACGCACATTGTTGTTTTAGTTGCGCCCGCCCAGCGCAACGCTCCATCAGGCGGGATATGATATGTTGTATGTCGTATGGCGTTTCACTCAGATCATTTCAGAACACTGCGGCCCCCGGCTCTTTCGCAGCCTGGCCGCCAGCCGCTGGCCGGCGGGACGCCCTTGCATAAACGGCCTGAAGCCGCCAGGAGTCACGCTGCAGTGCAGTCTCATGCACAGTTGCGCATGCCCATGCCCATGCCCATGCCCGGGGTAATCCCTCGCACCCGATCCCAGCCTTGACGTGTCGCATACGACTTGCCGCTCAGATCACGAGCGCGTCGTCCAGCCGCTGGGGCTCAGGCTGAAGCCCGCACCCCTCTTCTTGGGCTTCTGCCCCTGCTCGGCGCCCGCCTCAGCGGCTGCGCCCTCTACTGTGCGTGGCGCGCCCTCCGCCGCCGCGGCGGGCGGCGCGCCCGCGACCCCGGCCTCCGCTGCCGCGACATCAGCCTCCGCGGCCGCGACGCCGGCCGCCGCCGTCGCGACCTCGGCCTGTGCGGCGGCCGCAACCTCGGGCTCCGAGGTGGACGGGCTGGCCCTGGCCTCTGCCTCAGCGGCGGCCTTGTCGGCGCGCTGGGCAGCCTCCTTCGCTGCCCTGAGCTTGTTCGCCGCATGCTCCTCGGCCTCCTGTGACGGTTCATGCACGCACAACAACAAAATCAGCACGGTCATGCCAGATGCGCGGCGCTTGCAGGTGGCGTTGACGATGCATGGACCTCGCAACCTCGGTGTGCAGAGGGGAGGGCTGTGGAGCAGAGAGCAGCGGAGCGCAAGCGTGCCGCACCTTGGCAGCCCTGAGGGCGCGCTCCTCAGCCGCTTTCGCCGCCTGCGCCAGCTTGTCGGCCTCCTTGGCCGCCTGCAGGCGGCGATGGAGAATAGGTGATGGGGTGCGTGAGAAGTGGACCCCACAACCACAGCAGAAAAGCTGGCAGCAATTTTGAGCATGCGCCAAGTCAGCAGGTTCCGGCCGTGCCAGCGAGGGCCAATGCTAGTCCGGGAGAGGGCAAGGGGTGTGGGCGCTGTAAACGGCTGCACGCGCCAAGCTAGATTGCACGTGGGCAGCACCCCCTGTGTCCCTTGCAATCGTACCTTCTCAGCTGCAGCCCTGGCCTTGGCCGCGGCGGCTTCTTCAGCTGCCTTGGCCTTGTAGGCCGCCTTCTCCGCCTCCTTGGCGGCCTGCAAGAATGAAAAGATGAAAGAGGGGAGGGAGCACAATGCTGTGACATGCCAAGCCCACCAAGCTTGCGTGGGGGTGGATGCTGTCGTCGCCAGCAGAGAGCGTTGCTGCTTCACGGAGCGCCCTGCGAGCCCGCCTCTCTCGTGAAAAACCAAAGCGACTCAGCCCGCAGTGCGGCGTCCCCCCACCTTCTCCTCCGCCAGCTTGGCCTTGGCAGCCGCGGCCTCCGCGTTCGCCCTCGCCTTGGCCGCCGCCTTCTCGTCGCCCGCCTTGGCCTGCGCCGCCGCCTTGTCCTCGGCGGCCCTGGCCTTGGCAGCTGCGGCAGCTGCCGCGGCCGCGGCAGCCGCTGCCGCGGGCGCCGACCTGCTGACCGTTGCGCTGAGGTCGATCACCTTGCCGGAGGCCGCGCTCTTCTGAGACTTGATGTCGGCGGCGGCTGGCGAGTCCCCCTTCTCGGCCGCGTCCGCCGACTTGACGGCGCGGGCCTCCAGCTCGCCGTTGGCGGCGCGGCGCTTCCTGATGACGACAAAGAGGGCGAGGGCCACGACCGCGGCGACCGCCAGCAGCGCGCCGATCACGATGCCGGCGATGGCGCCGGCGGGCAGACCCTGCCTCGCGCCGCCCGCGGCGCCGCC